AACTTGGAAGAAACAAAGATTAATTAGATGCACAGATTGTACCTGTCTGATCTTGGTGGGAAGATGGTGCAGGCAACAGTGTGCTCATTTTACAAAGTCTGAAGCAGTCCAACCTTGCAGGAGATAAGGTGCACATGTGGAAGCAATGCAGTGTCAAACTGTTGGGAAAAAACTTGTCTGTCTGCAGGAGAACCAGACATTTTTATACCAGACTGTGAAAAGGGAAAAAACTATATCCTAAACTATTCCAAAGCATATATATTCCAAATAAAGGAAAATTTAGCTAAGGCAAGGAAAAAATATCAGAATTCAAGAGCTAGATACTTCCACTGATTGGAATATTATGTTGGATTTAGATGAGATGATTATTACAAACAGGACATGACTACATTGATTAATGTGACATCTGAATCTAAAATAAAGATATTGCAGAGAAAGTTGACTCATGTGGAATACAGATGGGTGAAACTTCAGGCAGCCTCCCTGTAAGGGGAAATAAAGTCCTGAAGAATAGAAAAGTTTGCAATTGCCTATGGAAATGGAATATCTATTCTTGTATTGAAAACATACCAAAGTGTATATTTCACTTAAAGACATTATAGTGCAGAGGATGAGAAAACCTCTTGAAAACAGGAACCATTTCTGTAGGAGGAAGAAAACAGAGCACAGCTGTGCATGATAGCTGATGTGCTGTAACAATGGGCTGCCACTAAGAGAAGAAGGCCATCCTTCCCCATCTTCCTTTGGGGCTGCAGTTTCTGCTGTCATCCCATGCAAATGTCCAGCTCCATCAGTTCGGCTTGTTCATCTCCAGCAGAACTAGTTGCTGTTGTGGGGGATTAGTGTGGTGTTGAATTGCTCCCTGAATCAGTTCCTGCCTTGACCAGATATTTAGAGCTGTTTACTGTAACCAGATTGTGCACATCAGGGAATGGCAGGGAGAAGAACCACGTCTTCTGGTGGCAGCCAACAGTTACACCAAGTTCTGGACAATGTAAAACTTGGTGTAGGCAAGAGAACACTAAAGGAAGAGAAATTGCCAGCAAGCCAAGTAGCATAGACACTCCATTATTGTCTGCTTTTAAGTGGTAGAAAACTTATTTAAATAAATCCATTGTTGAAAACTTGGTTTAAAACAGGGCAGACACAGTGAAAACAGTCTGAAATTACACATACTGGTATGTGCAAACAAATGTTAAATCCATGGTACAAACCTGGCCTGGGACTTCTTGGTGATGTTGATCCAGGCTAGTGGTCCTGCATTGCTCTTGTCACTATCCAGATCTCCAGAATATGTGATACATAAATTCTATATTTAATACCTTTGACAAACCAGCTAAGCATAATGTCACACATTGGATCACAATTTGATTGTTATGTTTTGTGACAGCTGTGATTTGAATGATATTACTTCATAAGCAGGGAATTATAATTAAGTTGTCTCAGGAAAAACAGTGTCAACATTGTTCAAATAACATTTTAAAAACATGATAAGCTAAGTTTACATAGGTAGGGAGTATTAACCTGCAGGACAACACATCTGGGACTATCACTTGTTGAAATCCCGTTGAATAAAAGTCTGAGAAATATCACTCAAAATAAGAGCATTGTAAGTTCTTGCAAGTACAATGAGACAAAGGGAAGCAATACAGGCACAGGTCTATGCACACATAGTATCTAAAACACAGCCCTCATCCTAGAGGCCTCAGTATCTCATGAAGCTGCTTCTGTGAGTTGACTGTTCTAGTCCTGGATACAGCTCAGGCGTCTGTCTTTTAACTTCTGCATGGCACTGGGGTTTAGCTTCCAAAAGTAGTATGGGAATTGGAGCAGCTTTTCTGAGCAAATTAAACAATGACTTGAGACAGGGAGGTGTTGCAGGAAAAAACCCCACACCTAAACCAGATGAGATTGAGGTGAAAGTCAGTGTTTGAAGAAAAGAGTTAAAGTGTTGAAGAAAAGAGTTAAAAACATATAGCCAGCATTTAAATTCTGTGCACCTGTGACAGGAGCAGGGGAACTTATAATGAGAGGCTTCAGGTTTTTGTGAGTCCCTGGGCATTCACATATTATTACATGCTGAAAAAAATAGCAAACCATGAATCTAGAGAGAAAGAACATTTCTCTGGCAGCTGCTGCATGAGATAATTTCTAAAGGAACTCTATAATCCTCAGTGGAGAGGCAAAGGGAGCCAAAGGAGAAGAAAAATTATATCTGAGAATGGCAGTGAATGTAGATGGAACTAAGAAAATCAGCACACTCATTTGGTGTTGCTTCCCAATAGAGCACAATCACGATCATCTTGGGGTGAGATGTTTTGTTCAGGTCTTGAAAGAGCAGAATACAGGAAATAAAGGAAAATGGAGTTCTTCACTAACCCCAGGATTAGAAGACTTAGAATAACTCATACTGTATTGAATGTGAGCTCCTCTGCTGCTTATGGAACTGCAGAAGAGAGTTTAATGTATTCACTTGTTTAACAAAACTGCAGATTAAAGTTTAATATATTCTTCTGTCATGCATACAATTAAGCCAAAAATTTGTATCTGATTGTGAATTGTTTACTAATGAGACTAATAATTACCTGCCATATCCATTTGAGACAGGCCAGCAACTACATAGTCTGTCTTCTGGCTAGATATGTGAGAATAATTTGCAATCGGAAAGGATGTCTTAGAAAGCATGATTGTCTTGGAGTAAGTTGGCAGTGGATAGAGAGGCAGAAGTTTAAAAAAGCATTAGACATTTCAGACATGTAAACTTTCCTTGTGAGGGCAGTTTACATTGCCTGATATGTCCTTTTGTAAAATATTAGCTTCATTGGCTAGAGGCCCAATTCTTTGGTCACATTCAGAGACAGCTCTCATGTAAGAACAGACTGGGACAGAGAGGATGAGAATCAGTTATTGATGTGTGTATTTTGGATGATATGAACAGCAATAATAAAAAATAAACCAATTTCATTCCATGAAATAAATATCACTGCCAGCTTATTGCAGATACTTGTGGACAAGATGCTCAGCAGATGTGCAAGTGTATAGTGTTACTGACTTCAGTAGCACAAACAAAATTCACCCTGTGCAGAGCAAAGCCTTGAAACTTTGTAGTTAGCAAGTTTAACTTCTGTGGAGGTTTGAATGAATAATGCTCACATTGCTGAGCCTTTTCCAGAAAGCAAAACATGGGGCTAAACTAAATATTTTTAAATTAAATGAATGATTACCCTCCAAAAATAGGTGCTTTTTACAGAGTAGAAGTTTTACTTCAGCTAAAAGAAACCTCACAACTCCAAAACATCTCTCCAATGAGGCTGACAAAGGACGTATTCCTGTATTTCTGGATATGTAGCTGGCCTGCTACATATTTCATTCTGTTTTCTGTTGCTGAGGAATTTTATTTGGCATATGAAGTGGTTGCTAGCAGCCACAAGTAGCATCCCTGCCTGATAGGAAGGGCTGTGTGCAGAGCTGTGCTGCCCCATCCTCAGATGGCCCCGAGCTTGCAGTGGCGTGGGCAGACTGCCCTGGCAGTGCCTACCACCCTTCCATGCAGGTGGGCTCCGGGCAGCCACGGGGACTTGCCACAGGTGAGCAAACCAAGGAGCAGCTCAGCCTGTGAGCCTGTCCTAAGGGAACCCCAGGGAGTGCTGAGGGTCCCTCCCTCTACCAGCCATTGGACCTGGCAGTGCAGGTTTGGCACCAACTGCCAGGGAATTTATGCCTTGGAAGAGTTAAAATGCACTGACACAATTTCAATCATCCAGGACAAGACACAAAGCCATTTTTGTGAATTGTTAAAAGCCTCACAGGGGTTGAAGTCTGCAGTTTTGGAAGGTACCTGGCTGCCCAGCACAGGGAGGTAACACAGCTCCTCACTAGGTCATGCATGATCCCACAAACTGTAGAGCAGCTCTGGCAGTAGAGCTGCTCCATGTCTAGCTAGGCAGGCCAGATGTTTGTGCTTTACAGCCTAAAACAGCAAAGACATGAGGCCAGCTGACTGCAGGCAACAACACGTCAGCATCCCAGACCAGATTTGGGTTTTGTCTTCAGTAGACATTCAAGGTGTTTGTGGCAGTTTTCTGTCTTGAAGACAAAAGCTTTTTCCCAAAGGATTGGCTGATCAAGCTGAATCACCTGCTTTGGACTATACCCTTAAGATGACCTTCATAACTTGCTGAAGCAAAAGGGATAATTTTTTCCCTTGGAAAATTTAAAAGAGGCAGTTAACCTCAGCCATGTGTATCTACATTACAAGTATATTTTTACTGCATTATTGAAGCCTGCTGCATAAATTACACTTTACAATCCTTTGCCAGAAGCTCAGGGGTAGGCTAATTTTAACAAGTCATCATCACCATCATCTCATCTCTTCCTTATGGGCTGCACAAATTTTTAGGGGATAAATTCACCACAGCAGTCAGAGTTCTATTTTTTAAGCTTAAAAAAACCCCAACGAAACAAACAAGCAAAGAAACAAACAAAAAAATCCCAAAAACAAGCAAACAAAAAAAACACCCCAAACCAACCAAAAAAAAATCCCAAAAAACAACACAGAATTATATAATTACATAATTCAGAAACACTTTCAACTCATTACTATACAGAAAAAGCAAATAAAAAGCTCAAGTTTAATGTGCTCAGAGTTCTTACTTCGGAAAATTGCTTAGTACAGAAAACAGCAATGCAAGAAAAGGCCATTTGGGCTTTAAGGCATGACTCAGAAGCCATGAGATATTGCTCCCTCTGCAAACTGACATGGGCTGCACTTTCCCTTTATGGTGGTGCAGGTGAGACTGGCAGCAGGTTAAGGATTACTCCAGAGAACAGAGCTAGCCATGGAAACCACAGCAAAGAAGGACTCCATCAAAAACATGGGGTTAATGAACCATGCAGCAGCACCTTGAGACTCTCATTTCATTCCAATGAATGCTTGTAACTGGGAATTAAAACCACCAGCAAAGCTAAAACCATGAAAGGAGGAAGAGATTTACACTCACCTGCATGGGGAGTTTTGAATCCCTCATTCCTTCAAGACAGACTCTTAACTCACCCAGCAGGAACTGTGGTTTGCCAGGATGCTTTAGCCATACAGATTTTCCACATGAACGCCCACTGCACATAATTTGTACTCCATGAGTGTTACCACAGGTGGGATCTGCAGACAAAAAAAAAAAAAAAAAAGCAAAGATGAACACATATTTAAGTAGTTTTTATTGACTTTTGCTTTTAACATGACCATTCTTTTTCAATAGTACAACTATGGGTTGGAATTTTTTTATTCTAAAGTTTGTATTGTTATTTTTGTTATAAGGTCTATAAAAATAATTCAGGTAGCTGCTACTTTTTGAAGTTCTTCCTAAAATTACAAAAAAAAAAAAAAAAAAAAAAAAAAAAAAAAAAGAAAAAGAACAAAAACCCAAACCCAGAGTCAGCTTCCTCTTTCTGTTTTACTTTTATCTTTGAGAAAATGAAAAAAAAACCATTCAACAGGTAAGATAACTTAAAGCATACGTCTCTGAGTTTTTGATTAAACTGTTTGCTCTTTCTGGCTTTGGAGGCTTGGGGAGCTGCAATTTGAAGCACTAGCTCCCATTTTATTCCAAAGCACTTTACCAGAAACTGTGGTCAGATCAATGGTGCTTTTCATGGGAATTCTGATTATAGCTTAGCACAAGAAATGCAGGTCATCTGGGGAGCAATGCTGTACAGAACTGAAGCATGAGACTGTCAAACTTTAAACATCATGAGGCTTTGCCAGAGGAGAGGGGACACAGGTTCATTCTGCCCCTAGTTAGAAGGAAATATTCCTAGTCTGTATGACAAACCATTTAAAAATATTTTAATATTACCATAAAATAATATAAAAACCATAAAATGAATCTGATTAAATACTTTTCTTCACCTGCCATTCTGTGGAATACACCTTCAGGCTTTTCACCCTAATTGGACATTTTACTTTTGAAATAATCTGGGTTTTCCAACAGACAGATAGTTCTCTTCTCCATGAGCTCTAAGGCCAGCTCATCTCTTTCTCCTTGACAGAAGTGGTAGGATGATGGACTCAGCATTCCAGCCAGGAAGCTGCTCTCCAGAGCAGCTGGAGACCCCATTGCACGTAATTTGAAAAGGCAAATAACGAGCTTTTCTTAATACATGTCTTTGAGAAAATCATACCTTTAATCCCCATGGTCACATCACACAGTGAACACTACCAACATGTCATTTAAAGGCATATTTTAAAGGAACAGATGAAAAAAAAAAGCATATCCAATAGGTAGTAAACCAGCTACATCAGTAAAAGGCTGGATTCCCATGACTGGGAGAAGGGGAGTTTTCTACCAAGGCTAAAAACAAGTTCCTGTGGCATCTGTGAAAAACATGGCACTGCAAGGAATCACAGTTCCCACATCCTCAACATGGCTGAGCAGCCACCCAAGTGATGGGCATCACACACCCAATTCCATGAGGAAAAAGTCCACAGAGTAGAAGTGTACAGTAACCACTAAAGGGCAGGGTGAGAAAGAGCTCTGTTAATGCACTGGCAAGACAAAATTGGCAGTTGTTACATCCCAATTATTTAGGCCTTTATGAACCAGGAGAATGAGTTTGACCTCAGATCTCCCATGGCAGCAGCATAGGGACCAGAGCACTAACAGGGCTGACCACCTTAATGTGACACAGAAGGAATTTTCCTGTCTCAAGTTTCAAATCAGTGGAATGTCCAGGATTGTTCAGGTCAGGAAAATGTTTCTTCCTGCCTTTTACTTCAATTTCAATATAAAGTAAGTGCAGAAGCTTCCAGCCTGGAGACACTTTGAGTGTATAACGTGTAAAGGTCTGTCTGGGACAACAGAATAATTGAACACAGGGATAAGAAAACAGAGATGGGAGACCTGACCAATTACAGATGTCAGAAAGGGGAGAAGGGTTACTGACCTATTTTTAATTTGTGAGAGTGTGAGCAGGCACAAGCGACAAAGATGTCTGGTCTGCTTTCTGAAGAGAGTAATAATACCCCATGAACAAATGTGATACAGCATTTCCTTATTTACTGAGAAATTGAGGCAGAGGTGGATTTCACATGACCTAATTGCTGATGCCTACAATAAGTCTTTCAGGGTCCCTGTAGGTAATAGAGAGAGTCAGATGCACATCCTAAGGGTCAGCCGGTTTATCTAAATTACACTCCTGCTATAAAACCCTTTCTCAATAAAGAAAACATCTCTGTCTCTATTAATAATGCTAGACTTAGGAGTGTAATCAGTGCCAGAAGTTTGATGCTGTTAGTACTACCAGGCTGTCTTTTCTTTGTAGTGTCAGAGCTGTAGAGCAGGATGATCTTTCTCTGATCTTTTCTAATGGTTTCTGTCTGTTTTCAAACAAAAGAAAAGCACAGGTTGTATCTAGTTTGAGATTAGATATCAGCACACTGGTACCAGACATGCAAACTGCAAACAGTAGTTTTACAAATAAAGACAAGGGAAATATTAATAAGCATGACAAAATCTTCTTCATGGGGGCCTACTCACAGAAGGGGTGTGCAAGCACAGGGCATCAATGGCAGAAACCAGCAAGGTAGCAAGTAATTTTCAAGCCTAAAATAAAGATAAAAGCCAAGTGGAAACATACCCCATAAAACTTCTTTAAGCTGCCTTCCTCCTAAGGAAAAATGGAGGTATTATCCTGACAAATTGTTATTGTGAAAAGTTCTGTAGTATTTTTATTCTTAAGGTTTCCTGTGTTAGAAAAACAGTTATTTATTTTCTCCTCATTTAGTTTACCTAACACAAAAATATTTAAATATAGGAGAAGAAAAAGGGAAAATAAATTAATAAGAAAGCACTTTAAGCTCTAGAAACATTTTTTCCTGCAGTGAACTCAGAGTGACCGAAGTTCGTAACATAAGTTGAGCATGCAATATTTTCCACTGCTTACAGTTCCCTTCTGAACTTCCATTTTGTGGGAATACTCTTGGATCATTGCTGACCTGTCTTTGGAAAAGGCTCACAGTGTATTTTGGCTTGGCTTCCTTCCATTTCTAGTCCTCTAAGTCTGTTCCCCATTTCAACATCTCTTATTGCCACATTGCCAAACACGTTACACAACCCCAGAGAAGCAATTTATAGGAATATTAGTAATTCATCTGTGACAAAACAAGCACTTTTCCCTTTTAACAGATCATTCTCTCCTGGGAATCATAGTTATGTAGATGTTTGCTCCCTTGTTTACAGCATTGCACTGGATGTGGTATTCAAACAGGCAAATGACCCAAAGCAATATAAACCTCTGAAAGCCAGTGCTCAGCAGCAGCTTTCAAAGCAAAACCTGGCTGGAAATATCCTGTGAAGACTTTTTCAACAGAGCCTGGAAGAGTCTCATGGATGAGTGTGTGATCTTCCTATAGCACATAAAATCAAACCAAATATGTGTAACAGAGATCCTGATTCCTTGTCTGTAGCCTGAGGCAGCACATCCTGATGAGTCCCCTCAGCACTCTGGGAATGTAACCCATCACCAAGTACAGGGCACTCTTAAAATGCCAGCAGATCCAAGGCTATGAAGCTACATAACTGAGCCCAGAAATGGAATTGCCCATAAATTATAAAAAGCTTAAAAAGCTTTGATAAAAGTACTGAAATTCACAAGTGTTGCCTGAACTTGTAAGCTCTGTTTACTAGAACATTGGCTCCCAGGAGATACTCCAACAGGCCATCAGTTTGCTAGGTCAAAGACCTTAGATTTCAGAATCTTATTGGAAAATTACATCAAATTAAATGTCAGCGTCTCTGGAAAAAGTCAGTCCCCTTTATGCGATCTTAAAACCTGAGCCACACCAAGACCTTTTCATCCATCTCTCTCACAAAACAAAAAGCTTCTGATTTGTAACCCGAAGCATGTTTTTCTGACCCTCAATTGTTCTTTTTACCCTGTTTCAAATATTGCCACTCTTGCAGAAGAGCTTGTCAGATGGAGTATCTACCTGCCAGAGTTTACAGTCTGACACATTAATGTGAAATAAAATCACTGACTTTGAATTTATGCATTGTTTACAACCTGCAGCTCACGATCACATTTATTTCTGCTTGACACTGACAAAGACCTCTGTAAAAAAAATGATGGCATGATTAAGGGCAGTAATTGTTCAAGCCATCTCCATGAATTCAACCATCAAGTCAACCCAGAGAAAGCCCTGCAGCTACACTCTGCTCTACCATGATCATATTAATCCTGCACCATGCAGTTTATATAATCTAACACCAAACTTCAGTGCACAACTGTTGTTAAGAGATACTCCAACTCTCCCAGGAATGAGAAAGAAATCTAGCAAGACCTCCTGAGCTAAGAAGCACAGCCAGGGCAGAGCAGTGAGCTGCTGAGGCTGATGGCTTTCTGACACCTAGGCGGTGGTAAAGCAGGTCTACTAAAAGCACCATGGCCACCCTCAGCTGTGACACAGAAGGAGATGGTCTCACAGACACAAAATGACATTTTTCTATGTAAGGCTACCCAAGCAATTCAACACAGTTTTCACTTAGTTCAGTATCAGATTTTATGTTTTTCTGAGCCAAACTGGTGAGCTCTACAATCTGTCAAGCATTGACACTACATGCCACCACAGAGAGAACTTTATCAGAAAGACTTACTCAGATGCAGGCAGAAATAAATCTCTCTGTCACTGGTGCCATACAGTTACCAACAACATCCTCAGCCTGGGAACATGCATACAGAATAACACCTACACACCTGTGCCTGGAGTGACAGATAGCATTCTCACCATGTGTCTGTCATTTCCTTTTGAAATCCTTGAGATATCACTGATGTCTTTTCTGGCTTCAACTAGCACCTACACTTCCAGGAAAACATCACTGCAGGGGCAGTGGGGCATTTTGCTACTGGGAGGCATGCAGTCACCAGCCAGCTTAACTGGACATTGCATCCATCACCTCTGCCTCATCTGAGAGCGTTTTGTCCCTGGTGATGTGCAGTTACTGCATGCATTTTGATCAGGTATCAACAGGAATGCGTGTGCAGGGACAGTGTTTGGCATGATGAGGCCTGAGTAGCTCGAGGGATCTAGTCCAGCCTGGAGCAGAGAAAGCAGCTTGTTACTGCACCACTGGATCCTTGCACTGGGAGATACAAGCTTCTCTTTAC